AGCGCAGATAGCTCTCGTGTAGCTTTGCGCCAAATTCAAAAACAAAACAAACTTAACTTATCTTAGAAGTGTTTCTTCTTGTCTTTAGTTTGTTAAATGGTCATAGAAAATTTTCTAATTATCTTTTTTTGTTAATTGATCATAGAATTGTTTGTAATTATTTTATATTGTTAACTTTAGAATGAATAGATTAGCAAGAGAATCTTTAATGTATTTTTTCTTGAAAATTAGACGATGTTAAACCGAATCATGTATTTTGTAATTAACTTTATGTTAAGCAATAAATTATTTCATGTCTGAGACCAACTATTGCTGTTTTGTCTATAAAATGTTTTAACTTTTTTTCAAGAAATGCAACTTTGAATACGGCTTTCTAATTATTTGATTTAATTTGTAACAAAGTTATTTTTGAATACGTCTAAGATAGTATTCTATAAAGTTTTCAAGATATTTGACTCTAATGTTTATATACGTCATAGACAAACTTCTCAATCTAGATTTGTATACCAAGGTAATCAGATATTATGTGTTTGATAAATGCTAACTGGTAAATATCTATTTAGCCTGTAAAATCCGAATCCACTTGCTTCATCTGCTATCATTCGGTAAAGACCTTATTTTGTATATTGTTTTAATTAGTAGTTTAAAATTTTACAGTTACAATGAATATTCTCACTTCTTTTTTTTCAGTAGATTTAGACCGCAACAGAACTTTTGGTGTGAAGAAATAATTACATTCACAAATTGGAATACCTCTACCGTCTCACATACACACACACACACACCTTCCATGGTCCAGAACCTCTACCGTCTCACATACATACACACACACACCTTCCATGGTCCAGAACCTCTACCGTTTCACATACATACACACACACACATTCCATGGTCCACAACCTCTACCGTCTCATATACATACACACACACACACCTTCCATGGTCCAGATCATCTACTGTCTCACATACATACACACACACACATACACCTTCCATGGTTCAGATCATCTACTGTCTCACATACATACACACACATACACACACCCTTCTTTATCTAGAATCTCCGTTTTTTAGCTCTAACTGGCAAATTTCCGCTAGCTATATATTTATCCAAAACTCCTTTACCTTTCAATTGAAGAATAATCATATAACATATAAATGTGTCTTGTTCATAACCTGAAGAAGTGGAATGGTAAATGTGTCTTGTTCATAACTTGATGAGGTGAGAAGATAAATGTGTCATGTTCATAACCTGAAGAAATGGAATGGTAAATGTGTCTTGTTCATAACCTGATGAAGTGAGAAGATAAATGTGTCTTGTTCATAACCTGAAGAAATGGAATGGTAAATGTGTCTTGTTCATAACCTGAAGAAGTGGAATGGTAAATGTGTCTTGTTCATAACCTGAAGAAGTGGGAAGATATCTGCCAAAATATCTTTAGAACTTTCGTGCAGCCTAACTTAAAAACATGTGAGAGTTAAGTAATCAAAAGCTTAAATTATCTTCAAATAATATGGATAATCTAACTTTATACATTTACTTTTAAATTAATTTGGAGGCATTATTCTCAAATTACAGTAAAACTTCAAAATGCCTTAAATATTTGTTTAAATTACCTAAATGACCTTTTTTGCCAGCAAAACTTGTAGGAGATTCGTGTATTGTAGACTCACCTTATTAACATCATACGACAATCAGTAGATATCCTGATTATGTTACATCATCAGTAGTAGACTACCTTATTAACGTTATATGGCAATCAGTAGATATCCTGATTATTTAATACCACCTTTAGTAGACTCACCTCATTAAAGTTATATTAGAAGTACATTAGCTATTAATTTTGTCCTCATTCATTACATTCTAAACAGAAGAATTAACAGAAAACTATACACTAGATGTTTATTATTTTTCTTATTCAAAATATTCTAAAAAGAATAATAAACAGGAAAAAAAAGGACAATAAAAGCTGACTATTTGTGGGCTGGAAATATAGAACAATCATGATTAACAAGATTAAGATGAGTTATAAACTGTACTACACATTGCCAGTCCTGCAATAGGTTTAGTGACATACGGACTCCACGTGTGACTGAGGTCCTGCTATAGGTTTAGTGACATATAGACATTACGTGTGACTGTTTTTGTAGGTATTCATCATTATGCAACATCCTGACTTTCAGCTACATCATAAAAATTTAATCGAAAGTAATCAGATCTGATAACATTTAAACCGTTAAAAACTTACTTTATAGTGAAATCAAAAACAAGAACCGTCCATTATTTTTCGTTGATGATGCTTATATGCGTATATGACTTGAATATTTTTGTACCAACTCAAATGTGTATACATATATATATATATATGGTATTTTTCTAAATTTGTATTGTCAATTTGTCAAACATAGTTAATAACTATGTTTTGAAAAACAATAACACAAGTGGAGTTTTAGTTATATATATATATATATATATATATATATAATAATAATATACTTACATTAATGAAACTACAGGATTTATTTCCTTAAAACCGAAACTTTCAGAACAAATTGCCTTACAAACGTGGACTGCCTAACCGAAACACTCGGAAAAATCTCGGTGGGCCTCCCTTAGAAAAGCCCCCCCCCAGTGGCACAGCGGTATGTCTGCGGACTTACAACGCTAGAAACCGGGTTTCGATACCCGTGATGGGCAGAGCACAGATAGCTCATTGTGTAGTTTTGTGCTTAATTCCAAACAAGCAAACAGAACCCTTAGAAAACTACGTAAAAAATAGGTTAATGCCCTCTGTTAGCACAATAGAGAAATAAGTATTTGTCTATGTCCATCATATTAACATTTAAATTAGTATGCGTGTTAATAGTGACGTGTAGCGAAAAGGATCTTTTTGAAAATAATTTTTCTTGAAGACTTTTTCTCCTACCTGATGATGACAAAACCTTGTCGAAACATTGTACATTTGCTGTTATGTTAAACTTATATTAAAGTTTTTCTTCATTACCCATTAAAGCCGTCTCCAACCATTATTGGGGTTCCTCGTCATCGAATTTATCTCCTATCTTGTGAAAGATTCCTCTGTGTTTTCAAAATTACTGATCGTGCAAACTATGTGCGACTAGAGTTTTAACATTAGAATAGATATACTTCTTAAGTGTGTATTTTTGTTAATTTTATGACAAAGTTGTGAGCTCCCTCTAGTTTTTTTCCCCGGTAGAATTCTATGGTCCAGTCCGCATCCACTTCCTTATGATACTAATTTTCAATATCTCGCTAGCTCCCAGAAAAAGCGGTTATTGTGCTTCAGCATTCAGTAAAATCAACTCTAATGATTGCTCACATTAAATCAACCGAGATGAATAACAATGAAGGAATGCAGTGTATTGAATGTCTGAGGAAATCGAACGTGTCATTTTTGCCTTTGTAACATAGGAAATGTCATAAAACCTAGACACTTTTTTCACTGATCTATATAAAAAGAACTAAGCTTTAATAAAGAAATAGAAAATTAAATATCTCCAAAATTACAATAGATTGGTAAACAACGATCTCTACTTACAGGAGAACACTCTGCTTTTAACGGTCAGCTGTTAAGTTTAGTTTTCAACTCTCAACTTTTTTAGTCTGGCGTTTTTTCCCCTTTAGCTTGAAGGTTGGTGTTATTTAACTAAATATTTCGAAGAAAGGGTTAACTCTGACGTTCTGTCTTGCTGAGTGGCAAAGGAAGAAGATGGGTTTTAAAGTTGAAGCTGTTGTATTTATATAGTTTAGCAAAGATATTTTGTATGAACACTGCCCACATGCTAGAGGAGTACTATCCACTTACACAGCGCCAACTGCAATACGTCACGAGTAGTTATCCAATAAGCAAGCAGTTAAAAAGAAAGATGTAAGAGAGAGTTCTTTTGCGTGTGATGTTGCCTAAAATAATCTAAAAAAAATTGTGTCATAAGATACGAAATCGACAAGAATAACACTGTTTAAGAAAATACCTTGAAGCTGGTTCTTGTGTATTTTTGTAAAATTTTTAATGCTTTCATTATACAATACTAATTAACATCAAGTGAGAATGTATTTAAATTCTTCTTTCTAGTTCACTTCCAATTATTTTTTATAAAAAAGATGGTACCCCGAAGCAAATGTATTTTTATCCTTTTAATATCATCACAAACACGCCCCTAAAACTAGTCTTAGTTCTAAATCTAAATTTTTACTTTTTTTTTGTATTTTACTTGAATCACGAATGCATGTTTGGTATTATTTTGATTACTGTATTGTTTCTTGAATAATTAAAACACGTATTCTATTCATATGAACATATATTGTGTTCTATTAGAGGTTGTGTTTTTAAAAAGAAAACTATGGATTATTTTTATTTCGATTTGCTACTTGCTCGGTGCATGTAATACGTAAAGTTCCATCTTCTGTGAACCTACCAAAAAGCACGTTTATTATCATTTTACTCATTTTATCTATTTGCGTAAAACAAAGAGATAAATATTAAAAAATAGATAAGAAATACAAACTGCAAAACAAAGAGATACATATTAAAAACAAAGATATACATATTAAAAGATAAAGATATATATATATTTAAAATAGATATACAAGTTTTAAAAGATAAAGAGATACATATTAAAAGATAAAGAAATATATATTTAAAATAGATATACAAGTTTTAAAAGATAAAGAGATATATATTTAAAATAGATATACAAGTTTTAAAAGAAAAAAAATAGATATTAAAAGATAAAGAAATACAATCTGCAAAACCGAGCTACATATTAAAACATAAATTTGCCAAACAAAGCGATAATACAAATTTCTTCTCATCTAGAGGCAACTTACAACCACGCTTAAGTTATTTCTATACTAAACGCGATGCCAAAAACGAATTTCTACCTTTTGTAAAAAGTTTGAGTATTTTTGTCCAAACTTTTCATTCTTCTATAAATTGTGAATGATTTCATATTCAGGAGAAGAAGTGGAAGACGAGGTGGTTCTTTTTATCTTAGAGGTTCTATTCACAGTTTCATCACAAGACGTAAGACCTTTAGCGATTTCTTTTCTAACTTTAATTTTGTACTTTCTTCAAACATGTACTTTCTTAAATTAAAATTGTATTTCGACAAAAACAATCTCGTTATTTGTTACACAATAACCCAAAAATAAAGTGTTATTCATATTCCTCAGTCCCCACCCCCCGGTGGGACAGCGGTAAGTCTATGGATTTACGACTTTAAAATCGATTCCTCTCGGTGGACACAGCATATAGTGCGATGTGGCTTTTCAATAAAATACGCTCACACTTATTACTCATCATTAACGTACTTGTCAACACAAGAGTCCATCACCGTAATCAATCACGGTGTTATTGTTTTCTTTTGTTTCATATAAGGCCGTTAAAGCTAAATGTAAACCGCTAAACCATCTCATCAAATAGTCTAGTTGAGAAACTGAAAGAAGAACAACACGTTTCCGTTTTCACTCAAGAGGCCGACACTGTAGGTTAGTAATTGAAATTAATTTCAATTGTTTATACCTTCATTCAGTTCATGCTACATTTTCTTATAATCTAACTAGTTTATTACACAGCATAATTCAAGTGGAACCCTTAAATTCAGGATTTTTATGGCGAAGACTAAAGAAAGAAACAATACGGCATCATTGATGTACTTTTCTTTGTTTATCAGGAGGCATGACGTTGAACTTGACCTGGCCTATAACCCGTTGGTCTGTAGACCCATTTAATGTCTGTAATACAAGGGATTTTAAAGCAATGTTCTGTTTTTCAAAGCAAATTTGCTACTACGTTCTGGATGTTTAAATCTCATTAATCCGCAAGTTATTTATTTATTTATTTAATTGTGTTGAAAATAACAAAGAGCTGGGTCTTTTGATTGACTATATCTTGAAAAATGAGTTAGTTTTCTTCTTTCATTAAAATTTTCATCAGACCTGAGTAATTAGTTTTCGTTTTCGCGTTTTCTTTTTCATGATAACAATACGCTGAAATTTTGCGTGCTGGTTAAGATTACCAATTTTTATTGCTATTAACAATAGGAGCAACTCTACCTCTTGTCTTCTAGCAACTATTACAAACTTGATCATCGTTTCTCTCCTCTGTGAAACCTTGTCTTTTGTTTCTTCATTTCGTTTTGCTTTTATTTATTGCAGACGTATTATTTGAATTTATTTAATGGAAATTCGAATATTTCAGTACTTTTTTCTATTTAGGAATGTTCCCGCGATTCCTTTAAAGACCACAAATGATATACTATTCCATTCCTGGAACAATTGTAGAACTATATATCTACTACTAAGCCATTGATAGAGCTTTCAGTGATTCACGTTGTCCTATGGAACATTTGTTTAGGGTTAGATCGAACTTGTTTGTTTAGGGTTAGATCGAACTTGTTTGTTTGAGTCGATACTATATAGTTTGTTATGAATTTCGCGCAAAGCTATTCGAGGGTTATCTGCGCTAGCCGTCCCTAATTTAGCAGTAATAAACTAAAGCTATTCGAGGGTTATCTTCGCTAGCCGTCCCTAATTTAGCAGTAATAAACTAAAGCTACTCGAGGGTTATCTGCGCTAACTGTCCCTAGTTTAGCAGTAATAAACTAAATCTACTCGAGGGTTATCTGCGCTAACCGTCCCTAATTTAGCAGTAATAAACTAAAGCTACTCGAGCGTTATCTTCGCTAGCCGTCCCTAATTTAGCAGTAATAAACTAAAGCTACTCGAGGGTTATCTGCGCTAACCGTCCCTAATTTAGCAGTAATAAACTAAAGCTACTCGAGGGTTATCTGCGTTAGGCGTCCCTAACTTAGCAGTAATAAACTAAAGCTACTCGATCGCTATCTGCGCTAGGCGTTCCTAATTTAGCAGTTAAAGACTAAAGGGAAGGCAGCTAGTCAACAACACTCACCGTTAGTTTTTGGATAAACTTTTACTAAAGAATAGTGGAATGGATCTCACATAATAACGCCCCAACGACTGAACGGACGAGCATGTTCGATGACATGGATTCGAACCCGCGACCGGCAGATTGAGGGTCGAGCACTCTATTCACCAGATAATACACAAAGACGATTCTAAAATGTGACAAATAGAGACAAACTCTCAAGAAACAGGTCTATATTAAAAATATCAATTTGTGTGTAATGTTCACTGTTAAAGTAAGACAAACCCAGTAGATCACGTTATTAATGGTCGTAACTTAATTATAGAGATTATTATTTAGACTATGTCTTAAGTGTTATGTAGAACGTAATTACACCAAGCAAGCTGCCTTTAGAATATTGTAACAATTCAAGTTTTTACTTCTTTTTGTTTTGTACTTAATAAAACAAAATATTAGGTTTGATTTGAATATGCGGTTTCATCTTTTCTTGTTTTCAGGCAAATTAAAGTATAGTAATAAACATCTATTTCGCCTAGTCTAAGATAAAAAAAAAAAGCCCGGCATGGCCAGGTGGTTAGGGCGCTCGACCCGTAATCTGAGGGTCGCAGGTTCGAATCCCCGTCACACCAAACATGCCAACCTCCGCCTTTGCCTGGTCCCAAGTCCAGGATGAGAAAGGGGGAGGGTTGGGCGCGGGGCTAGCAACTCCACCCTGTAAAAACCAACCTGCTACAAGTAACTGCAACAACACCTTCCGTTGGCGAGGTGTTGTTGCGGCCCTATGCTCCACTGGGAGCTTATAGGAATAATAAAAAAAAAGATAAAAATGCATATTAATTAAAAGAAGCATTAATATTTAAATTATATGAATACCATCTATACTAGAAGGGTTTTGAACAAAGTATTTTCAAATAATATACAAAAACATGAATATAATCTCATTTAAATGGATTTAATATTTTCAATTTAGACTTATTAATCATTTTTCCAATACATTTTTTGTAAAGTAAGTTTTATTTATCGTTACCGAAGATCACAGTTTACATAGAATGCAACGAGCACTTTTACTACCTCAGGGGAAATATCACGGTGCTACGTTAGGAAGCGCCCCTTTTTTTTCCACCAGTGCTTAATTATTACAATGTTTGATAAGTTAGAATGGCCAATAAATGTATCTATTTTATGTATTCTTCTTTATATGGGTGGTATATTAACATAATTTAAGGGATATTGAGACAGTTAAGTTAATAGACTGACCCCTTCTATCATTAGAATATATCAACTATATTGCCCCAAGAATTTTTTCCCACTTGATTCCGAAATGCATTTAAATTATGTCTGCAAGATCTTGGTTATATATACAGTTTTGTCTGATTTTTTGTTTGGGGGGGGGGGAGGATTCGTATAGCCTTTCTCAAATTCACCTTGAAACCTCCTGGCATTAGATTTTTTTTTTCTCTTTAACAGCTTCGCCGTCGCTTTTAGTTTAAAGTTATTTTTTTTTTAAGTAACTAAGAACGAAAACCATATTTGAAGGCTTCACTCTTTTGTTTAGGTTACAATCGTTGAAACGTATTCAATTAGCAACTACCTTTGTATGTCTAAGATAAATTAGTAAATGAATTTGGATTAAAAACATTCTGTGCTTCTTTTGAAAACTAAAGATTGCGTAGACAAGATTTTTGAAAAAACGTTTTAAAGCCTACAAATTTGAAAGTTATTATTACTTAATTTAAGTTGTGAAGCGATATCTCACCTATCTTGCACACACACATCTACATATTACATACTTTATAAACCAT